GAAAAAGGAAACCCTTGTGCACTGCTGGTGGGACTGTAAATTGTTGAAGCCACTATGGAAAACAGTATGGAGACTCCTCAAAATATCAAAAATAGAAATAGCATACGATCCAGTTATTTTACTTCTGGGTATATATCTGAAGAAACAAAAACACTAATTCAAAGAGGTATATGCATCCTTATGTTTACTGCACTATTTAAAATAGCCAAGATATGGCAGCAACCTAAGCATCCATTAATAGATTAGATAAATGGATAAAGATGATGTTGTATACATACACAATGGAATATTACTCAGCCATAAAAAAGAATGAAATCTTGTTATTTATGACAACACTGATGGACCTAGAGGGTATAATGTTAAGTGAAATAAGTCAGACAAATACTATATGATTTCACTCACATGTGGACAAAACAAATAAACAAACAAAAAGAAATGGAAAAGATTTATAAATACAGAGAATAAACTGTTGGTTGCCACAGGGGAGAAGGACAGAGGAAGAGGTTAAAATAGGTAAATGGGTTGATGAGGCACAAGCATCTGATTATAAAATAAACAAGTCATAAGGATGAAAAGTACTGCCTAGGGAATATAGTCAATAATATAGTAATAATTTTGTATGGTGACATATGATAACTTATTGTAGTGAACATTCTGTAATGTATATATTGTAAAATCACTATGTTGTACATCTGTAACTAATATACCTTATATCAGCTGTACTTCAATTAAAAATAAAAGTAAATTTTAAAAATTAAAAAATAGAATCAAGAATATTTTGAAAGATTTTAACATTACGATTTAATAAACACAATTTTTCCAACTTTTCAACAGAAAAGAAATACAGAAAGGTATAAAAAATTCCTCAGGATTTTTTTGTTTTCAGCTCACAATTTTGCCACTACCCTTTTGTTTATGCAAAAGTAAATGCAGCAAAGCCACGCTTCTGTATACTACCACCTTTTTCTAAGGGTTGCAAAGTAGAGGAGAATCACAACCTTGAGAGAGAAGAAAACATTTATCAGCAATTTTCATTTGTAATTTACTTGTAATCATAAATGATTAGCTGACTATAGCATCCCAGTGAGCTTAATATCCTAACCAATCAGCTGTGTGCAAATTTCATATTTTACTATCATATTAACTCAATATGTATTACCTTAAAATTACTTCATGGGGAATGTCAACTCCATGTTGTAGCTCTTCGAAATGTACACTGTTAGCCTGTTTTTTAATTCCACAATAAAATTCCACATGCTGAATTATGTCAAACTTAGGGGGCGTAAGGACCATGCTTAATTCAGCTTTTTATCTCTCAATATTTAATATAAAGCCATTGGTGATAGTACACATGGTCCCAAAGGTATCTTTTCATTGTGATATGTATCATATGTACATTCAGTACATAAAACTAAGTGTACAGGATGGTACAGAACTGTTTAAATTCCCAAAAGTTGGAAACCCAGATGTTCCTCAATGGATAGATAACTGTTGCAATTACACATAATGGAATAGTATTCAGCTATAAAAAGGAATAAAGTGCTGATACATGCCACAAACTTGGATGAATCTTGAAAATATGTCAAGTCAGACAGAAAAGGTCACATTTTATATTACTCCTTTTATATGATATATTCAGAATGGGCAAATACAGAAACAAAAATCAGGTTTGAGGTTACAAGAGGATTGGGGGAAGGAAGAGGGATAATGAGTGATCACCTAATGGATATGGGGTATTTTTACAGGGTCACAAAATTTTGAAACTAGAGAGAGAGCTGTTGGGAGCACATAATGAATACACTAAATGGCAAGGAATTGTATACCTTAAATGATTAATTGTATATATACGAATTTCACCTGATTAAGAAATATGTATTTCAAGAAAAACTGTAAGTATACAGTTATAAAATTAACACCTGTATAACCCAAAAACAAAATGGAAAACAGAATTCCTCCAGTATCTCTGAAATCTCAAGTTGTTTTCTTGATTTTCCCTTCTCTAGAGATAAAAACTGTTCTGATTTTACCAGTTCCGACTTTTCTTTAACAATTCACATACCATCCTTAAACAACATAATACAATCTCATCATAATGTATAAATTCTTTTGCCCCGTTTCTTTTATACATTATATTCCTAACACTCATTCAGTTAGATGGACTCACAGTTCATTTTAGTGCTTGTATAGTCCAGCGAGATATTTTAAAATTAAAATGTTTAATGCATTTAAGGTTTCTCCATGCCTTTGAATGTCTTTTGATAGCTCATTTCTTTTTATTGCTGAGTAATAATATTCTATTGAATAGGGTAACACAGTTTATTCATTCACCTGTGAAACAACTTGGTTGCTTCCAAATTTTGGCAATTATGAATAAATCTATTCAAAATACTTATGTGCAGGTTTTTGTGTGGACATATGTTTTCAACTCATTTTGGTAAATACCAGAGAGTGCAACTGCTGGATCACATAGTAAGAGTATATTTAGTTTTGTAAGAAACTGCCAAAGCATCCTTCAAAACGACTGTACCATTTTGTAGTCCCATCAGCAATGAATGAGAGTCCATTGCCCCACATCCTCGCCAGCATTTGGTGTTATCACAATTCTGAATTTTCACTGTTGTAATAAGTGTATAGTGGTATCTTGTTGTTTTACTTTGCAACTCCCTAATGACATAATGTTGAACACCTTTTTCATATGCTTATTTGCCATCTGTATATCTTCTCTGGTAAGGTATCCATTCCGATATTTTGCTCATTTTTTAACTGGATTGTTTTACTGTTGAGTTTTAAGAGTCTTTTGTATGCTTTGAATATTGGTCCTTTTAAGAGTTTTTGGGATACTTAGAATATCGGTCCTTTAACATATATATATTATTTGCAAAGACTTTTCCAGTCTGTGGCTTGTCTGTTTGGTTTATTAACAGTGTCTTCCAAAGGGCATTACATTTTCATTTTAATGAATTAATATTTATCAATGTTTTTCTTTCATAGGTTGCCCTTTTGATGTTGTTTCTAAAAAGTCACCTCCAAACCCATGTCTAGATTTTCTCCTACATTATCTTCTAGGAGTTTTATAGTTTTGTGTTAAACATTTAGGTCTATGACCTACTCTGAGGTAATTTTTGTGAAAGATAAACAAGATCTACATCTAGATTCCTTTTTCGGATGAGGATGTCCTGTGGCTCTAGCACCATTTGTTGCAAAGACTACCTCTTTTCCCCATTGAACTGCTTCAGCTCCTTTGTCAAAGATCAGTTAACTGTATTTGTGAGGTCTATTTCTGAGCTGCTTTGTTTCATTGAGCTATTTATCTATTTTGTCACCAATACCAAACTGTCTTGATTACTGTAGCTTTACAGTAAGTCTGAAGTCCATTACTGTCAGTCCTCCAACTTTGTTCTCCTTCAGAACTGTGTTGGCTATTTTGGGTCATTTGCCTCTACATACAAACTTGGAATTAGTTTGTCAGTATCCACAAAATAACTTCCTGGGGCTTAAACTGGGATTACATTGAATCTATAGATCAAGTTAGGAAGAAATGACACCTTAACCATATTGAGTTTTCTTACCCATGAACATGTAATATTTTCTGTTTCTTTATATCTTTGATTTTTTCATTAGAATTTGGCATTTTCCTCAAATAGACCTTGTGTACAATTTGTTAGATTTACACAAAGGACTTCTCATTTTTTGTTGCTAATGTAAATGGTGTTCATCTTTTAATTTTAAATTCCAATTATTAGGTTTACAGCTATTGCATATTTTTACACTAATGTAAATATTGTGTTTTTAAAAGCAAATTTCAATCATTCACTTCCACTATAAAAGAAAGCAATGGACTTTCATATATTAACCTTGCTATAACTGCTTATTAGTTCCAAAATATTTTTTGATTCCTTGAAATTTTCTACACAGACCATCATGTCATCTGTAAACAAAGGTTTATTTACTCCTTACCTCCAATCTGTATCTTTTATTTCTTTTTCTTGTCTTACTGCATTAGGACTGGAAGTTAGGACTTCTAGGGTGATGCTGAATAGGAGTAATACAAGGGACATCATTGTGTTTTTTCCGTATCTTAACAAGAAAGCATCTACTTTCTCACCACTAAGTACAATGTCAGCTGTAGGGGTTTTTTTTAGATGTTATTTATCAAGGTAAGGACATTTCCCTTATTCTTAGTTTGCTGAAAGTTTTTAACATAAGTGGGTATTGGATTTTGTTAAATGCTCTTACTGCATCTTCTAAAAGGATATGATTTTTCTTACTTAGCCTGTTAACAATGATGGATTACATTAATTGCTTTTAAATGCTGAACCAACCTTGCATACCTGGAATAAACGCCAGGGGTCATTCTTTATAGATATATATACACATGTGTGTGTGTGTGTGTTTATTTTTTATTGCATTTGCTAATATTCTGTTGAAAATTTCTAAATCTGTATTAGTAGAATTATTGGTCTGTGGTTTTCCTTTCATATACTGTCTTTGGTTTTTGATATTAGGGCAATGCTAGCCTTACAGAATAAATAAGGAAGTAGTGCCCCTGCCTCTGCTTCTGTTCCCTGGAAGAGACTGCAGAGTATAGTTTTCTCCTTAAATGTTTAGTGAAATCAAGATTTTAAAAATAAAACATTTAGCTTTTTAGACAGAAATGTGAGGCGATAACAGTTACCACTTTTAAACCCTAATATCCTCCAGGCAATGGTTCTAGTATTTTAAAAACAGTATTGTAATATTTTCAACAATTCTATGAGTTATTAACCTCTTTATTAGCCCCTTATTACAATTATTTTTAAGTGAGCACAAATAAATACCTCAACTATGGTCATATATAGCTAGTATACAGATGCTTGGTGCTTTAACCAAGTATATTTACCTTATCTATTTTCCCTAGATTATTATTAAACTGAGAAAATTAGAGTTCAGAATATTGTTTTTCTACACACTTTGAGATGTTAAAAGTAAGTTTGCCCAGATTTACCTCTTCATTACATCACTTGCTAAATGGCCATTTATCCTATGGAAACCATGTTTCCTTCTCTGGAAAATGGAGGGATTAATTACTTACCTTTATAAGGTTTTTTAAGGTTTTTCTAAGAATTACCAAATTAAATAATCTAATTCATATAAAGAACTTAAATAAGAGAAAGCTTTCTTTAATAATTTGCCATTACTTTTTAAGATGACAAAATTTATTCAGAAATCCTAGGCTTTGAACGTTCAGATATTTGCTCATTGCCTAAAAATTCATTTTGCACATACTGACAATTTGTACTCCTCAACTCACTACTAAATTAGGTTAATACTTTCTTAACATATGGAGCAAAATGTAGCATATCTTTTCATGGTGTTGCCATCTGTAAATAACAAAATCATACATGATTTCAATGTTAAATACTCAGCATTTTTACTGTCCAAAGAGAGTTCTATTTCAGTTTCTAAATACATGCCCTAATTCCATAAATTCAACTAGCAAGATCTGTGTTTAACAAGATGTGACTCAAAGACTAAACAGGAGAAAATTATGTAGCAACATAAACCTTTTTAAATGCAGGATAATTTACAATGGAGATGTACCAAGTACTGTAAAGTAAGGTGATATTTCTTCTTAGTGGCACCCTATAAAGAAGCCAAACCTTTTTGCCTGAACTATAGGCTTTCCTTTAAAAAAATCACAAGTCAAGAGAGCAAAACGGTAAGTCAGATCATAGAAACTGACCGGAAGTAAAGGCATTAACAGAATGTAATCTGAAAGAATAAAGTTCCTTTTGGGCAGGTTTATACTGTCCAAAACCAGATTTTCATGGGAGCATTATTAATATTTTTCTATAGTCAGGGTGGCCAACTAGAAATATTTGCTTGAATCTTCTGGCAAAAAGTATCTAAGCCATGCTATGCTTCAAAGAACATTTGAGGACTTGACTGATTCCTTTCCAACACTGAACCAGACAGTACTGCTCTTTGAGAAAAATCCTGGCTTTACCTACAGGTTCTCTATTGGCCTACTTTTCTTTGAATGTAGGACAACCTTGGATTCAAAAGGAAATTTTTTTTTTACCCTGAATTTTCAGAAAAGGAAATTGTGAAATAATAGAGAATATATATTGGTTGGTCTCAGTCCCTGGTTCCTAGCACAGAGCTCCTAAAAACAATGCAATTTCCTAAGTGATAAGAACACCAGTTCAAATTTTCTGTAGTTGCAATATTGGTCTTTGACCTGTGTTCCTAACACAGAGCTCCTGAAACCCTTGTAATTTCCTGGGTGAAAGGAGTACCTGTGTTCTAATGAGGTAATTCTGGGTAGGCTCTGGGGTGGCTCCTGGTTGAGGGCTGGTCACAAGTTAAGTCAGCATTAGAAGCTTGGAATTTTCAGCTCCATTATCTTCAGAAGGGCTGAAAACAGAGTTAGTGATCATTCATGCCTACAACAGGACGAAGCCCCCATAAAATCCCAAAAGGATGGGGTTTGGAAAGATTCTGCATTGAACGTGTGGAGGTGTTGGGAGAGTGGTACACCCGGCGAGGGCATGAAAGCCCCATGCCCCTCATGCCTTGCCACACACATTTCTTCCATCTGTACCCTCTATCATATCCTTTTATAATAAACTGGTATTGTTAGTAAATGTTTTCCTCAGTTCTGTGAGCCATTCTTGCAAATAAATGAGCCCCAAAGAGGCGGTCATTGAAAATTATGACCTACAGCCAGTCGGTCAGAAATTTTTAGATGTTATTTATCAAGGTAAGGACATTTCCCTTATTCTTAGTTTGCTGAAAGTTTTTAACATAAGTGGGTATTGGATTTTGTTAAATGCTCTTACTGCATCTTCTAAAAGGATATGATTTTTCTTACTTAGCCTGTTAACAATGATGGATTACATTAATTGCTTTTAAATGCTGAACCAACCTTGCATACCTGGAATAAACGCCAGGGGTCATTCTTTATATATATATATATATACACGTGTGTGTGTGTGTGTTTATTTTTTATTGCATTTGCTAATATTCTGTTGAAAATTTCTAAATCTGTATTAGTAGAATTATTGGTCTGTGGTTTTCCTTTCATATACTGTCTTTGGTTTTTGATATTAGGGCAATGCTAGCCTTACAGAATAAATAAGGAAGTAGTGCCCCTGCCTCTGCTTCTGTTCCCTGGAAGAGACTCCAGAGTATAGTTTTCTCCTTAAATGTTTAGTGAAATCAAGATTTTAAAAATAAAACATTTAGCTTTTTAGACAGAAATGTGAGGCAATAACAGTTACCACTTTTAAACCCTAATATCCTCCAGGCAATGGTTCTAGTATTTTAAAAACAGTATTGTAATATTTTCAACAATTCTATGAATTATTAACCTCTTTATTAGCCCCTTATTACAATTATTTTTAAGTGAGCACAAATAAATACCTCAACTACGGTCATATATAGCTAGTATACAGATGCTTGGTGCTTTAACCAAGTATATTTACCTTATCTATTTTCCCTAGATTATTATTAAACTGAGAAAATTAGAGTTCAGAATATTGTTTTTCTACACACTTTGAGATGTTAAAAGTAAGTTTGCCCAGATTTACCTCTTCATTACATCACTTGCTAAATGGCCATTTATCCTATGGAAACCATGTTTCCTTCTCTGGAAAATGGAGGGATTAATTACTTACCTTTATAAGGTTTTTTAAGGTTTTTCTAAGAATTACCAAATTAAATAATCTAATTCATATAAAGAACTTAAATAAGAGAAAGCTTTCTTTAATAATTTGCCATTACTTTTTAAGATGACAAAATTTATTCAGAAATCCTAGGCTTTGAACGTTCAGATATTTGCTCATTGCCTAAAAATTCATTTTGCACATACTGACAATTTGTACTCCTCAACTCACTACTAAATTAGGTTAATACTTTCTTAACATATGGAGCAAAATGTAGCATATCTTTTCATGGTGTTGCCATCTGTAAATAACAAAATCATACATGATTTCAATGTTAAATACTCAGCATTTTTACTGTCCAAAGAGAGTTCTATTTCAGTTTCTAAATACATGCCCTAATTCCATAAATTCAACTAGCAAGATCTGTGTTTAACAAGATGTGACTCAAAGACTAAACAGGAGAAAATTATGTAGCAACATAAACCTTTTTAAATGCAGGATAATTTACAATGGAGATGTACCAAGTACTGTAAAGTAAGGTGATATTTCTTCTTAGTGGCACCCTATAAAGAAGCCAAACCTTTTTGCCTGAACTATAGGCTTTCCTTTAAAAAAATCACAAGTCAAGAGAGCAAAACGGTAAGTCAGATCATAGAAACTGACCGGAAGTAAAGGCATTAACAGAATGTAATCTGAAAGAATAAAGTTCCTTTTGGGCAGGTTTATACTGTCCAAAACCAGATTTTCATGGGAGCATTATTAATATTTTTCTATAGTCAGGGTGGCCAACTAGAAATATTTGCTTGAATCTTCTGGCAAAAAGTATCTAAGCCATGCTATGCTTCAAAGAACATTTGAGGACTTGACTGATTCCTTTCCAACACTGAACCAGACAGTACTGCTCTTTGAGAAAAATCCTGGCTTTACCTACAGGTTCTCTATTGGCCTACTTTTCTTTGAATGTAGGACAACCTTGGATTCAAAAGGAAATTTTTTTTTTACCCTGAATTTTCAGAAAAGGAAATTGTGAAATAATAGAGAATATATATTGGTTGGTCTCAGTCCCTGGTTCCTAGCACAGAGCTCCTAAAAACAATGCAATTTCCTAAGTGATAAGAACACCAGTTCAAATTTTCTGTAGTTGCAATATTGGTCTTTGACCTGTGTTCCTAACACAGAGCTCCTGAAACCCTTGTAATTTCCTGGGTGAAAGGAGTACCTGTGTTCTAATGAGGTAATTCTGGGTAGGCTCTGGGGTGGCTCCTGGTTGAGGGCTGGTCACAAGTCAAGTCAGCATTAGAAGCTTGGAATTTTCAGCTCCATTATCTTCAGAAGGGCTGAAAACAGAGTTAGTGATCATTCATGCCTACAACAGGACGAAGCCCCCATAAAATCCCAAAAGGATGGGGTTTGGAAAGATTCTGCATTGAACGTGTGGAGGTGTTGGGAGAGTGGTACACCCGGCGAGGGCATGAAAGCCCCATGCCCCTCATGCCTTGCCACACACATTTCTTCCATCTGTACCCTCTATCATATCCTTTTATAATAAACTGGTATTGTTAGTAAATGTTTTCCTCAGTTCTGTGAGCCATTCTTGCAAATAAATGAGCCCCAAAGAGGCGGTCATTGAAAATTATGACCTACAGCCAGTCGGTCAGAAGCACAAGTGATAACATGGGCTCATGACTTATGTCTGAAGTGGGGGAGGGGGAGGTCTTGCGGGACTGAGCCCTGAGCAGCTGATTTTGTCTCTCTAGATTTAGATAGTGTTAGAACTGAGTTAAATTTTAAGACATCCACTGGTGTCAAAGAGAATTCCTTAATATGGGGGAAAAAACTCCACACATTTGGTGACCAGAGGTGTCAGAAGTGAAGCATTCTGTGTGAATAGCACAGGAGACCCACAGAAAAAAAAGACATAGTAGGGAAGAACTGGGTTTTCCCTACACAGAAGGTGGAAAAGTGAGTTTTTCTTTTATAGAAATTATCACTTGCATATTTATTCCTAGATGATAACCCAAAATAATTGTTGCTCAAGCCCTTGCCCAATTCTTACAAAGAAATTTAAAGAAATTATATATATGCATATATATAATTTAATATATACACAGACAATAGTATATATAAGTATGTATACATGTATTTATACATTTATAAATTATAAATATGTGTCTATCATTGAGAAAGAGAGAACTTTTATTTGAAGAATAGGCAGATCAACTATTTCTTGATATATTCTAGTTTTTCTGTTTGGATAAATATTACTTATTTAGCTCTCTACCCTTCACCCCCAGTAAAAATTACACCTCAGAAGCACAACCTCAGCTTTCACTTAGTATACTGTGAGAAAACAGCTTTGTGAAGCACACTAAGGTAGAGCAGGGACATGGAATAAGCATGATTAATTTTTCCTGCCTAAGATGAAAAATGCCAAAATACAAATAGCATAGTAATAGCAGGAGGGACCCCATCTTAAGGCTAAGATCCCATTTTAAAAACCAGGGCATTAGGAGGTAAGATTCCTAACATAGTTTATGGTGTTAACCAACGACCAACCATCTTAAGCAGGGCAAGGTGTCCTAAATGGTACATTCCCACTGCCTGAGGGTGACCACTGTCTGGGAGAACAAGACCAATAAATTCCTTGTGTTAAGTTTATCTTACAGAGTATCTAGAGGACTGACTATGGATGGTCCCATAATGTCTCTTAGGAGACAGACATCACAAGATCACATGTCAAACCTATGCTCCCTTGGCACTTATCCCATTCTTGAAATCCTTAAAAACCCAAATCCTAAATCTTTTAAGTGTGCCTCCTCACTGAGGCCATCTGCACTCCCACACTCTCATCTGAGTATGTACTGTCTTATCAAATAAACGTTCTTGTTGCATAAGCCTACTGTACGCGTCTCTGAACTCTTTTCCATGATAAAGACAAGAATTCACCAACCTCCACCTCTGGTGGTAAATGTCTTTGTCACTTTGTTATTTCATTCAATTTTCTAGTCTTAAGTACAAGTCTTCTCTCTTTCTGTTCTACGTCATACAAGTAGGAAAGGGCTACTGAGAACTCCCATTTGGGCTTGCAAGTTCCTGTCACCTGGGTAACCAGGACAGGACGGGCTGGACGATCACGTTCTTTGGTAGCCTGCCCAAAAAATCTTTCTTTGCTTTGGAAAGTACTCAAGACATCTCACTCCATCCAGTGCTCTTGGGTGGTAGGGACTTAACCACATAGTACAGATTGAAGCAGACACTGGACCCTGGCTTCAGGAGTCTGCAAGGATCTGCCCTGTGCCGAGCAGGAGTTCAGTGAACTTTCCTTCCCTCCGTTCTTCCTTGCTCTTTACTGCCTGCATGGCTGCTGCCATTTGCTACTACTCTCACTTTAATGAATTCTTTCTCTACCTATACTGTGCACAAATTCTTTCTCAATCAGAGTCAAGAGTCCTCTCCCAGGCTGAGGTCTCACCTAGTGTGCAGGGAGATATCCCTAACTGGATTGCCTGACAACACAACCACGTCATTTCACACTCCTTATATGAGGCCCCATTCAAGAACTTTCTTCCAGAAATACACACTAGGAAAAGTTTTATCCTCCAAGGAAATAGTGTGTTTGATTTTTGGCTTTAGACAGAAGGAAACTCTAAGAACTAAATTCCCAGTTCAGATGCATCAAGCTGTACACTTAAACATTTTACTGTAGGTAAATTACAACTCAGTAAAAAAAAACTTTTTTCA